GCGACGCTTTGACGTGTTTTACTAGAACTCAATTATTTGGGATTTCATTTCTTAGGGCTTTTTGGTGGCTATAAATATGTGAATTTTAGCAAATGAAAGCAGGAGTCTAAGAGAGGGAAGAAACGACGGTTAGAGAGAAAAGAAAAAGGTTCTACAGAAGGAGGAATTAAGAAGAAAGTGAAGAGGATTAAAGATTGAGAGCCAACTGCAGTGTTATTCTTCATCCTAGTTTTTCATTTCTTTCCCATTCTTTTACTATAGAAACAATTTATTCTCCTGAAACTATGATGGTTGCTAAAGAAATGATGATGAACTAATCTATTTTTCTAGGATTATGGTTTATTTCAATATGTAGTTTGAATATATAATTTTTCTTTGCTTAGTATTAATAGGTACTAGAGTGTAGCCCATGCTATGTGTTGGGCACAATTTTTTTATATACGAATAAGATATGAAATTAATTTACATTAATAAGGATAATTATTAAAAAAGAAATCAAAGTATCATTTACAAATTATGTTGCAATGTATAAAGATAAATTTTTAAAAGTTAAAAGATATTGTGATGACGTATTAAGCTTATTCAAAATGAACTTGCTTATCAAACTTGAACTTGTTTGATCTTTCACAGTATTATCATGTATAGGCAATACTATTATTAATAGGTCTATATAATGCATTGTTAGGATTTTTTTTGTTATTTTCTGTATTGTAATAAAAAAAGTTATAAGAAAGATAAAATTATAAATGCAATTAGTAAAAAAAATAAATATTAAAAAAATAACAAAAAAGAGAGAGAAAAACTACAAAAAATTGAATCTCAATTTTTCTCAATTAAAAATTAAATTAAAAAACCACCCATTCTTTTTTCTCAATTTTTCCTTTTGTTTTTTTTTTCTATTTTTTCCTCACACATCTCCCTCTCAACCTAGACTTACCTTTCTCGCATATGCATATGGATCTCGATCCCTTTCTTTTACCCTTTTCTTTACCCATTCCTTTTTTAACAAGTCTGATTTTTTCACCTAATTTTTTTTTCAAATTTTTTTTTCTTATTCTTCTTTTTCTTTCTACTTTATCCCTACTCTTTTCTAGCCTATACACCTCAACTATAAGACCCCTCTAACCCCAACCCATCACATGTAAGCCTCTAACTTGATCCCCAACTCCTTCCTCTAAACTCCACCTGTCAATACATGGAGAAGCAAAGCATGCAGAAGCTAACTTGAAAGGTGAAAAAATGAGAAAGCCCCTTTAAGGCTTCTTTTTAAGTATGTAATAGATTGTATGGTTTATTCAATTTCATGTTTAATGCTTTTCTCTGCTCGATCACCAGTTGAAATGACTAGGATTTCTAAATGCAACTCGATGAAAGGGTTTAGAATAAACCATTGATTTGAATAGTCTGTATTGAATTTACTTAGAAGTTAAGTGATAGATTAGAATTTAGGATAGACATATACCTAAATACCTTAGACAGATTAAAATTTAGGATAGACATATACCTAAATACCTTAGAAAGCCAAATTAGAACATAAACTTAATAAGCTTTTCTTAATTAATTTGCATAGACATATGGAATTAATTTTGAAAAGTATATGTGCAAGAATTTCAACAGAGACTTGTCCACAAAGTTGGTTTCTAGGTTAGCCATATACCCCATTAATCTAAGTTTAAAGGAAAAAAATTGTGCTCAAATGAAATATTGAAAAATGCCATGATCCTAGGTCTTTACAATAGCAATTTCTTTAGTAAAAAGAAAAAATTTACATTCATATCTTTATTTTAGTTTAAGTGGAAAATTTTATATCAATTTAATGTTCAAAATCGAGTGGTTGGATAGGAAAATTTTTGTTATAGATTTAATACTTATTATAAGTTTAGGAGCAAATCTCTGTGAGAAATGATACTCGACTTACTTCTATATTACTTGAGTGGTACGTAGAATTACGTGTACAAAATCGACAACATATTTCTTTTAGAATTCTTTACAGAAAATATAATACTATACGAAAAATAATGAGAGCAACTAAAACAAGTGGAACAATTGCTTTACGTGCATAACTGTATAAGTAACCTAAAATTAGTGGAAAGGTTCATGGGTTACTTTCATTTTAGGATTTTCTGAAGAGTTTGGTTTGGTGGCTTAGATACGAAGATAGTTAAACTGTCTTCCTTTTACCTTTTCTTATAAGAGAAGTGTTTCTCCTTCTCTCCTTTTCCCTCTTACCATGTTCTTTTGTACCTTTTTATGTATAACTTTTTCCTTTTACCTTCTACTCAAAAATAAGTGTTATTACATTATTAATGGTAAAAAAACACCCATTACTTCAGAAACAACATAATGGGTTTCTAACAGTTACTCATCATGTACAATAAAACTATTACTTCAATGACCACATATTTGGTTTCAATAACTCTTACTCATTATATACATTAAAACTCTTCTTAATACTGTTACTTGGTAAGTGCTTTAAAGCCTACTTTTGAATAACTGCTTATTCTAACTTTATAAATATAGAGATTTGACAACTCATTTTGAGAGAACAAGATTTCGAAAGCTAATGTAAACATATTTACACTCTGAACTTTTTTCTCTGAATATTATCTTTCTAATTCTCTTCTACTTAGTCCTTCTTTACCTTATTCTTAATTTGACTATATTACTTTGGCAATATTGTTACTTTACTGCTCACTTGTTCTCTACCAATTCTCAACCTTGCTTGACTACTCACCTATTCTTTTTCACTTGCCACAACACTCAATATTTCAAGGACTACTCCAACCTTCCTTTTTGTTGCCTTCAGTGCATCATTTTAGTTATTTGCAGCACCTCTTCTCTTTTTATTACATGAAACCTTTTATTCGTATTATAGATACTTGATTTTGACTACTAACTTATAATTTCTTTAGGAGTTGTTTTACAATAACGTAATACTCTTCATAGAGTAGGAGAACAACTAGAATGAGTGGAATAATCATATCACATGAACAACAGTTAACCTAGAATAAGTAATAGGGTTTATGAGTTAGTTCTACCTTAAGATGTTCTAGAGACCTTGACTCAGTGGCTCAGATATAAAAATAGTTAGGAGATATTCCTTTTAAGCTTTTTTTAAAGTATAGGTGTTTCACCTTTTTACCTTTTCCTTCTTACCTTATTCTCTCACACCTTTTCCCTTTTATTGTGTTGTCTCATCCATTTTCCATCTTACCTTATTAATGACCATAAAACCCATTACTTCAATAGTCACATAATGCGTTTCTAACTGTTAATCATTATATATAATAAAATCATTATGTTAATATTCACATAATGAGTTTCAATTAGTGTTACTCATTATATACATTAAAGCTCTTCTTAATACCATTAATTATTAAATGCTTTAAAGTCTATTCTTGAGTTGTTTTTTCTAGCTTTATATATTGACAATTCATTTTGGGCAAAACAAGATTTCTCGAGCTAACGCAAACATATTTGACTCCTCTACTTAGTCCTTCTCCACCTTATTCTTAATCTTACTCTATTGTTTTTGACAATATTGTTACTATACCGATTGTCTATTCTTTACTTATTCTCAACCTTACTTTACTATTTATATAAACTCTTCCACCTACTACAACACTCAAAACTTAAAAAATTACTTTAATTTTTCTCTTTGCCACCTCCAACGTTTACATTGTTTCAATCTATTTTCTTTGCAATAAGATTAATTATGTAAAACCTTTTAGGCTTGAATTTTAGGGAAGAACCTTTTTAGGTTTGACCCCCACCCTAGTTGAAGTTAGTCTAAGAGTGTTATGTTATTTTTGTTGATGCTACTTGCACAGCCTAATTATCCCTCCTACCTAATTGTTTATACTTATTAAGTTAGAATAAATCAAACACAATTATAAATTTTATATAAATCAATCACAATTATGAATTATATATAAATTATATAACATCTATCAAAATATTACATGAAACTCACACTTAAATATAATGAATCTCCATTCAATTTTTTGTTGTGATGGAATAATTATATGATTATAGCAGAAAAAAATCGAATGCTTCATCCCGTCTTGTCTCATGTAAGAATGGTAACATCCCTGCTATATATTTTGGAGATAAGATATCCATACTTGAACTTTATTATTTATAAAAGTATCTAAATTCAATTAATCTCCACCAAAATTCAACTATTACGAACCTAATAAATAATAATATTACGTTCATGCACTTTTATTAAAAATCTAGTTAAAGACAATTGATAATAATATTAAGAGTCTAAGTTTAACTTGACAATCGATAATGATATTAAGATTTTATCTTTAATTTTGATGATATGGTTTTCTAGTGATAATTGAGGTGGTTTTTTGTTTGTCAGGTGACACATGAAAAACATCATACATACATATATAT